GACATGTAAGTATTAGGCCTCATTCACACTGTCGCGCGTATACGCGCGTACGTGAGTATTGTACCATATGCAACATATGCAAATAAATGGCTCCATACACATAGCCGCGTATGGAGCCGTATATTTGCATAGCGTATATAAATGCGCAAAAACAAAAGCGTCCGGGCAGCGTATTTCTGCGTATTTACGCGCACATATGCGTATATACGCGCGTATACGCACGTACATGCGTACAGCACATTAAAAATTCCATTGTGAGTGATGCATTCTGGGATTGCATATAGTGCACACATATACGCATATACGTTCGTATATATGAGCATAGACGCGTATATACGCAATATACAATTTTGCTTGCGTTGTGTGTGAATGAGGCCTTAAGCCGTTGTTTGATAGAGAGAGTCACCATTCAATTTCAATGCCCAGATTTTACTGCAGTGGGCTTACATTTTAAAATGTATTACCATTTTAGCAGCTAAATTGGGACAACACCTACTTCACATTTGTTACCTGTTCACAGTCAACTCATATAACTTTTAAAAAAAAAAATTGTAAAGATTAAAAAAGTAAAAAATTTAAAAAACTTAAATTGAAAAATGCAGAAAATAAAATTGAAAAATGTGAAAAAATTGAACATAGCTAATTACTTTTTTAGTTGTCTTTTACGTGCTTAAAAATTCTACCTGGATTCCTCCCTCACCCCTTTTGTAATGTAGACTAGTGGGCTGTGGGACATGTTTGCTCTAATTAACTCTGTATTGTGCTGGCAGATCTATTTTTCAGTTGAAAAGTAGATGCGAACACTCTGAGGGTTATTTACAAAGCTAGCCGAAGGATCAACCGTAGCTGCAGCTGATCCCTCGGCTAGCTTCGGCCGCCGGAGCCCTTCGGCTTAGTAGAACAGAAGGGCTGCTGTACGGGCTATTCACTATAGCCCGTACGGCTCCCGAAGCTGCACGAGCGGCTCAGCCGAGCCGAAGGCATATGCTTCGGCTTGGCTGAGCCGAAGTGAAACCCGAACCCGAAAGCCTCGCAGCTGACAGCTGGGCGGTGCCAGCCCTGATCTCCGCCCAGTTGCAGAGACAGATCATCGTCCCTAGATTGATTAGAGGCACATACGGGTCACCTTATCACCTGCCACAGAGGAACCTGAAATACTTCATCTTGGCATTCACATTTGTCTGCATAATCAGATATTGTTTAAAATATCACATGACAGATGTACAAAAACTGACATTATTTTAACAGCCAAACTCCACTTAATAATGATATTTTATTTCTTGATGGCCTCTGTCTGGCTCATTAGCCCCATCGATGGCATCAGTTTACTCAGCTGTATGAATTGATTTAACCGCGTTTTGTTCATTTTATTCATCGATTCATTTCTCATTAGAACTTTATATGTTCACAGTTGCATATAACATAGGGAATCAATCGTTATTCTTACAATAGTGCTTTAATTATAATGTAAGGCAACCCTTTCCATCGAGCGAGTGTGATAAAACAGGAGCATAGATTTAAAGTGGCCGTCCTCTACTGCCTGATATCCTTTTAAATGACCCTTACCAATCCTGGAACTTCAAAAAACAGGGAGCTTTGATATGCAAATATTGATGTTATTTCCTTACGTCGCCCCGCCCCTCCTGCCTCCAGAGCATAATTATTGAATGCTAATTCAAATTATCAAGGCACTTGAGGGGGTTCTTAAAAATATGCACTGACATCACTATATTTCCTCTCCTTCTGTAAACTTTTATCTCTTCTATTTTTACTTCAACTTTTAAAAAGTTTTATCTCATCTTCTGTAAACTTTAAAAAACTTGTTTCTCTTATTTTACTTCCATTTTAAAGACACTTTCATCTTTTTCTACTTTGTCTTTTAAATGTGTATCTCTTCTTTTACTTTTACTTTGAAAGCCTTCACCTCTTCTTCTTAAACGTTAATTTTTACAACTTGTATCTCTTCTTCTCATTTTAATTCTTAAAACCAATATATTTTCTCCTACTTTATCTTTTAAAATCAGTTTCTCTTCTTTTACTTATTTTTTGTAGACTTGTAGTTCTGCTTCCCCTTTAAAGGAGAAGTATGAGGTGAGTGCTTTTCCCTCACCTCATAGTTCTAGCCGACCTGTGACAATGAGACTGTCACAGGTCGGCTCAGTAGATCGGGAGGTGAGAGAACACATGTCGGGTTCGCTCACCTCTCGCTCCTGTCACGGCTCTCTGCCGTGACAGGGGAGGGGCTGGATTCCCCCCCTCCCCGCTCCGATCCTCCAGCGCTGACTGGCGGAACGGACGGGGGAGGGGGCGGGTACAGCTGGCTCTGCCTTTAGATAGGCAGCGCCAGCTGGCAGTCACGCAGCTGGGCGGATCCCGGCACAATTGTCAGGATCCGCTTCAGCTGCGGCGTCTCAGTATACCGCGAGCAGCTGCGGTATACTGAGCCTAGGGTGATGGGAGGACGCTAGTTTGTGTCCTCCCGTTACCCTAAGGTGAACTATGGGGAAAAGACTTAACCCCATAGTTCTCCTTTAACTTTCGAAGCTTTCATCTCTTCTTCAACTTTAATTTTTAAAACCTCTTCTACTTTTTTTTTTAACTTGTATCTACTTCTTTTATTTTAACTTTTAAAAACCTTTAAATGGTTCCATGTTCTTCCTCATGAAAATCAGAATCAAACAGTTAATATTGGGCAGAAGCTACTAGAATATTAAACCTTGGAAATCGGTGTTGTCACTTTGTGAACTGAACCAGGAAAAATAATTGCTAAACGACAAATAACAGTAATGATGGATAGGCCCATAAAGCATTTATTAGACTTAACTCCTGACATTTTGAAGCATTGTCAAGCAAGATCTCAGCTGCGCCCAGAGGCAGAAAAAAAAATGGTTCCTTTACCAGTAACTCGCATGCTTTAATTTTATTGATTTTATGAAGAGCTTCAAACTGCTACATATAGATTTGCAGGTTCTACAAGTAGCTCTACCAAGAACTTTGGAAGAGATCCTACAAAAATGCCACTGCAAGATTTTAAGAATGAATTGGAAAGGAAATGATCAAGGGACAGAAAGTGACTTCAGAATGGAGGCACAGGTAGGCTTTTGGTGACCGCATTAGATTCCAACCGCAACATTAGATCCCAACCATTCGAACTACAGGTAGTGGTTACATCACTAAGTAAATGTCCACTTGTAGTCTCCGCTAACCCAGATGATAATTTTCTTCTAATTTTTGAAAGCTGCTTCTATGTAACAGTTGTAGTCAAAATACCTGACGGTGGTAAGAATGTGTAATAACATTTAAATGGAGAGGAGATGGAAGCAGATTCATCTACAGACTCAAATTTCCTTGGACAATCCCAAGTTCTGTGACGTTGATGTTAGTCTATCTTCTGCCAATCTGTTTGTGGCATTGGTAGACGTGGATGTGCTACATCTAGTGGCAATTGGCCTTCTACACAAATTTGTATTGAGTGTCAATTTCTGAATGTTGTATTTTGGAAGGCAGTGATGATTACATCAGAAGAATCGGCATTGTATAATTGTAGATGTATCTGTCGATTGGCGAATCTGCAAGTATATATATTCAAGATAATCCAAAATTTTGCGGTTGGCTAGCATCTCCAACAAATCAATTTGCTCATCACTATTGGCAATTATGGTAATGAATACCTTTAGGCAATTGAATCTAAAATCACAAACATCTAAGGACTTGATTTGAGTGGGTCCTGAGAACTATGATAAAACATATACTTACAGGTTTAGCATCAGAGTCTACTAAATTGCATTAAGTAGCAATAAAGCGAACTTACACAAGATACTTATTTCTTTCTTAAAGGGTCAGTGAATTCAAATTAGATTTTTTGTGTGTTTTGTGGATCACCAAAAATAAATTTTATTCTATCATTGTAGGGACTTGAGATCTGAACACTTAAGCTGGGTATATACAGAGCAGATTTTGGTCTATCCTTGATGAACTTGCCATCCCACCTAACATCCTTCAGCTGAAAAATCAAAGGATCCCGGCAGAAAACTGTACAATAGCCACAGTGAATTGATTCCACCATCCATGCTGTTTAGCTTGAAAAGAGGAATCTATTCAATTTTGTTTGGTTTAGCCCAAAATCTGGACCAAAAAAACCTAAGTGTATACCCAGCTTAAGTTCCTGGGTCTGGATATCTGCTGTGCTAGTTAGAAGGGGCTACCGCCATCCCTGCTGGGATTTTATTTATTATATATCATGTAACAGGAGGACCTGGACCAGAGAAAGGTGGGCAGGAACAACCAAAACTCCCAGACAGACAGGAAACCATGGGGAGCTTCTCCAGGAAGACCTCATTGTTGACTATCCAAGGTATACGGCTGAATCAGTCCAGAGGATGAATCAGTCCACTGGGCTCCAACCCTAACTAAAATATAACTTTTCGGTAAACTGACCCTTAATAACACTTCTAAATAAATTCTTAGAGTCATGCTCTGATCTTAGAACCTTAGTTAAAAGTGGTCACACATTTTCAGATGACATACTTTTACCACCTGCCTATGCTGTCCTGTAACAAGTAACTTGCTTTCTAGCACCCTTCAATGCTCCTCAGCTATTTATTTCTGCCCTCCGGCAAAGTTTTTCTGTTGCACTTGAATATACTATAAATCCGCTCTGGAATTCTACTCAGAAACAGAAGAGCCGAACCAGATCCCAAGTTAATAGAAATAAGCAACCTTAAACAAATCTACAAACCAAGAAGAAAGCTACCGAAGAAAGGTGGCGTATTTAGAAAAAGAATTGCAGAGGGCCAAGCACAAGCCAAACGCTTATCTGCAGTAGAACCGTTAACAGCTAAAGACTTTTGAGACAGCAGAGTAGTGTGCAGTGACATGATTGGGTCTCTCTTCTAAGTTTACAATATTGTCTAAGAAAGATGATTAGTTGGAGAAGTGAGGGGAGCAAATTGCGGTCTTTGGCCTTGAGAGGGGTCCCTATCTCAAGACCCCAAGGAGACCTAACAATCTTCTTCATTGATCTGACATGCAAAGAAGCGTCCGGAGGCCAGACAGACAAGGCCCTCGTCGCATACTTTCCGTGCACACTCAACTCTACCGTCATGCTTGCAAAAGCATTTCTCTGAGCACCCGTCGTCCATCCACGCGGTCTGTCCGCGACTCATGAAGCTGTCTGGAAACAAAACAACCAGAATGAAAATCAGACTCAAATATAAAAATCAGAATCACAGCCATGTTTATAGAATCCAGAGTTTACCCATCAAACTTTTACTTATTTATTAGTTCTAGGTAGAGTACAGAAGAGTTGGAATTTCTGTCCTTGTGATGGCCTTAGAAAAGCATTAATGAGTGGTTGTCACCAGGACAAGAAGGCATAGACAGCATACAAGATATTGCCAGGCTTTCTAGTTCTTTTTCACTGTATTAAAAATGTGGAGATTTTTGTCCCTATCCCAACTGGAGAGATTTACACTCACTTCCTGTTCTTATATCAAGTGGCAAAACCAAGGAACACAACCTACCACCCCTATGGGTCTGGAGTCCACAGTCTTTATAAACTATTGACACTGAGGAACAAAACCAAAGCACAGAACCTACCATGCCTCCTGGTCTGGAGTCCACACTCTCTATAAACTATTCACACCCAACTCCAAAAACAAACCACAGAACCAACCAAGCCTCTGGGTCTGTGATGGGCTCTTCACTTTATGCTGGCTTATATTTGATCCTTGTTGCCTCGCTCAACTATGGCTTTGATGTAAAAATGCAACATCCGTAGAGGCTTAGCCCCTGTTCTATTTTAATTTATATTTCAATAATTTGAGGAGCACATAAATACATTTTTGGAACCTGGTCTTGGTTCCTCCCCAACAGGATAAAAAAAAATGAAAGTTCATACCTTTGTATACACAGCCACCAGGCACAATGAATTCATCGACACGGAACATCCACAATCCTGGGCGTTCAACGTTGCTGGAGGATGCGATGTTTACTATATGCTCCGTTCTAGACATCGGCATGTTGAAGTATTCGTTTTCTGTATTAAAGCCAGCCTGTGCATGAAATATTGTTTTAAAGAAGGCATTCGGTCTAATGAGAAAGTACAATCGTGTTTTAAAGAAGGACCAAAGTCTGCAACATTTTTTATACATATATAGAGGGTGTATACAGGGCTGTATTTACCATAATAAGGGCCGCCATCAGGGGGGTACGGCTGATGCTCATTGAGGAACCTGGTGTTGGGGCAGCAGAGAGAGAGTAATTCCGGCCCTGCTCAGGTCCTTAAAGGAGAACTATGAGGTGAGTGCTTTTCACTCACCTCATAGTTCTAGCCGACCTGTGACAATACGACTGTCACAGGTCGGCTCAGTAGATCGGGAGGTGAGCGAACACATATCCGCGTTCACTCACCTCTCGATCCTGTCACGGCTCTCTGCCGTGACAGAGGAGGGGCTGGATTCCCCCCTCCCCGCTTCAGCTGCGGCGTCTCAGTATACCGCGAGCAGCAGCTCGCGGTATACTGCGGCGTCTCAGTATACCGTGAGCTACAGCTCGCGGTATACTGAGCCTAGGGTGACTGGAGGACGCTAGTTTGTATCCTCCCGTTACCCTAAGGAGAGCTATGGGGAAAAGCCTTAACCCCATAGTTCTCCTTTAAGGCTGCAGTGACCTGAAGATGACACAACAAGGGGTAACCAATCATCAACAGACACAGCCTTCAGTGCTGGATCAAAGTGAGCAAAAGTTTTAGGGGGTCTTTTTATTAAAAAAAAAAAAAAAATTCACATGAGAGTCATACAACTTTCACCCAGGATTCACACATTTTCCAGTTGAATCCAATTAGAAAAATGGTACATTTTTGGTGAATGCAGTGCGAATTAAAGTTTGTTTTTTTTTAAACTAGAGAATGAGTAGGAAGGAGGGATAGGAGGAAGGGTTTAACTTTCTTGTTTGATATTGTAATTCCGGTGCACAGGAAGCTACAAGGATACTGAAATTCCGGCAAGACGAACGTGAACTTTTCTGTATTTTTAGGAAATGCACCTAAAAAAAAAGAAAACGAATGCGGCCACCACATCCAAGGACCGCTATGCGTCAATAAATGACATTTTTGTTTTTAGGTTTTAGATATTATCTCTTCCACGTTCGGCCGTCATACCTGGGCAGGGATGCCCCCGAGGCCGGTCATAGGATCTCCACCACTGGCTGTGCCCGTTGTCCATGAAATGTTTTCATACAGGAAAATAACAACGGACCTCTGGTACTTGTCAGAGGCCAACACACACTGGAAGGTGTTTGTCTGGAACATAAAACAAGAGCAGGGGTCAGCTTCTTAACATCGGCGCAAACAGTATAGTCACAAGAATGTCTGCGGAGGTTCTCGTTCATCCAGGTTCATGGTATATCTGTAAAAAATCAATCAAGGCAACTGGACTTGATGTATTTTTCTTGAAGACGTTTCGCTAGTCACCTGACCAACTTTCTAAATTCAGAATGACTTGTACAAAAATTATCTGGGAATAAATATGGTGAATGTTGCTCCAATCCACTTAATCTGTTTATTATAACCGGCATGGGGTCAGAGACCTTATGGGGTGAGGTGTTGATTGTATTTGCATAATTTGAGCCAGCAGGTGTTATTAAGCCATCCAGAGAGAGGTGTTAAAACAGCAACAACAGAGATGTCTCAACCCCCCCTCCCCCGCCACCTCTATTCAAGCTTGGCTTCTCCATTTTAACATAAATGGCCTCTTTTACACCTCTTTTGAACCGGTTCTCCTCCCTGTCTAGTAGGGATGCACCAATACCAGTATTTCAGTATGGAGTACCGATATTTTTTCCCCCGGTACTTGCCGATACCGAATACCGATACCGGAAGTCCCATTAAGGAAGCCAGTTCAGACCCAGTAAAGACTCGCCACCCGGCTTCCCAATCCGCAGGTGACGAGAAAGCATGGAGCCGGCTTTCTGGCCAATCAGGAAGCCGGGAGCCGTGTAATGACACAGGGCGCCCGGCTTCATGATAGGCCGGGAAGCCAACTCCCTGCTCCTTCGTGATGAGGTGACGAGGGAGCATGAAGCTGGCTTCCTGGCCTATCAGAAAGCCGGGGGCCGCGTCATTACATAGCGCCCGGCTTCCTGATTAGCCAGCTTCCCGACCAATCAGGAAGGCGGGCAGCGAATCATTATACGCTGCCCCGACTTCCTGATTGGCTCACAAGTGAAGAGGGAGCATGGAGCCGGCTTCCCGGCCAATCAGGAAGCCGTGCAGCGTGTAATGACTCGCTGACCGGCTTCCTGATACCGAAAGTATCAGGCCAGGCATCTGAGCGAGTACTCGTTCAAATACTCGGCATCGGCACCGATACCGATACGGTGCAGTATCAGTACCAGTATCGGTGCATCCCTGCTGTCTAGGATGCATGCTTGATTGTCTTCAAAGGAGTGATCTTTTTCCTTTAGATGTAGGTACACTGCTGAATCCTAGTTTATGTCCTCTTGTGACCCTTAGGAAAACTATGGGGAAAAACACTTACCCCGTAGTTCTCCTTTAAGTTGATTGGAGCAACATTCAGCATATTTATTCCCAGAGAATGTTTTCTGAATTAAGAAAGCTGGTCGGACAACCTGGGAAACGTCTTCCAGAAAAATACAGCGCGTCACGTTGCTTTGATTTATGTTTTTACAGATATTCATAAGAATGGTTTGGCCCCTGTTTATCCATTGCACAGCCACTGAATGCCCATTTTACCCCCTGCCCCAACATGAAAAGAGGTCTCTGGCTCTGTGAAAGTGACCACTAGATACCCCTCGCACACACATAGGATAAGCTGATGCGGTCTCTTACCTTATCTGATTCGCTTCCATGATAATGTACTTTATCCCAGGTTGCAATGAAGGCCCAGGAGGCTGTGAAATTGAAATTTGGGAAATACTTCCTGACAAAACTACTTATGCAGTCCAGAGTAGCTTCATCCAAGACCTGCCTGTGAAAGATATCCCCATGGTCCGGTTCTTCATTGTCTACGTCCCCCCAAAAAGGACAGATTACATTTACATTGGCCAGGGGGAAGCCGTCAGGGGTGTAGGAAGTGACTTCCTTTTTAAACGAGATGGCACCGTTGTTGTTTACCTAAAGAACAAAAATTAAACAAAAATTTAAATATATATATTTTTTGTTTTGTTTTTTTATTATTTTTTGTGTGTGTGTTATAACTCCGACTAGATTGTATGACTTTTATAACAATTTGTAGACTTCTTCTTCTATCTTGACTTCCATTTAACTGTCTCTGGTCATTTTTACCTTCTGGACATTTCCGAAACTTTTACATTTTTAAAGATACATTTATGTTTCATTTTTACCTACCAGAACTTTTTTTATTTTGGTGCTTCATGTTACTAATAATTGACATTCTTTAAAGGAGAACTATGGGGTCAGTGTTTTTTCCCATAGTTCTCCTTAGGGTCACGGGAGGACACAAACTAGCGTCCTACCGTCACCCTAAGCTCAGTATACCGCGAGCTACAGCTCATTATATACTGAGACGCCGCAGCCGGGACGGATCCCGACATTACTGTTGAGATCCACCCAGCTGCGGGATTGACAGCTGGCTCTGTCTATCTAGAGGCAGAGTCAGCTGTACCCTCCCCCGTCTATTCCGCCAGTCAGCGCTGGAGGATCGGAGCTGGGAGGGTGGGAATCCCTGCAGGGAGCTGTGAGTGACAGTCACGGCTCTCTGCAGGGATAGATCGAGAAGTGAGCGAGCGACGGTATGTGTTCGCTCACTTCCCGATCTATTGAGCCGACGTGTGACAGTTTCATTGTCACACGTCGGCTCGAACTATGAGGATCAGTGATTTTCACTCACCTCATAGTTCTCCTTTAAAGACGCAAGCCAGCTTTATATTTCCTGAAAGCACAGATCCTGTAGAATAAAATAGCAGCAGTTGCAAATGTTGTACATCGCATGATATATGAAAGCGCAATTCTTTATCAAACCCCAAAATTCTGTAAAAATTACACATTAAAGGAGAACTATGAGGTGAGTGCTTTTCACTCACCTCATAGTTCTAGCCGACCTGTGACAATGAGACTGTCACAGGTCGGCTCAGTAGATCGGGAGGTGAGCGAACATATACCGGCGTTAGCTCACTTCTCGATCCTGTCACTGCTCTCTGCCGACTGGCGGAACGGGCGGGGGCGGGGGCGGGTACTGCTGGCTCTGCCTCTAGATAGGCAGAGCCAGCTGTCACTCACGCAGCTGGGCGGATCCAGACATAATTGTCGGGATCCGCTTCAGCTGCGGCATCTCAGTATACTGCGAGCTGTAGCTCCCTATATACTGAGCCTAGGGTGACGGGAGGACGCTAGTTTGTGTCCTCCCGTTACCCTAAGGAGAACTATGGGGAAAAGCCTTAACCCCATAGTTCTCCTTTAAGTAAATTTTAGGTCCCAAAACACAGTATAATACTCATTTGTTTTGTAAATTAATATCAGCGACGATGATTGCGTCACTTCCGCTCCCTCAGCTGCCATTCCCAGTGGAAGCCGGGGAAGAAGCTATTCAAACGCTATCTGCACTCGAAAAGCTTCTTTGCAGTGGTAAGGGGACACGAGGGGGGGTCATGAAAATAAAACCTACGTAACAAGATCGGTGGGTCTCGTGGAACATAGTGAATGAATGCAGAAAATTAATTCGTTCTGATGCTCCGTCATCCTCTCTTGGAGTTGTGACATCATTCAAATGTAGGCCGTACGGAAACAGGTTACTGCCTGCAGAGGAAGGGCGGGGGGAAACAAGTGAATGCGTCAGAAAATAAATGTAATGTAATAAAAAAAACTCCAGCTTTGTTGAAAATGACCTAACAAAAAGAACTGCGAAATAAAGGATCACCAGGTGAAAATAAAGAGGGGGGGGGGGCTGAAAATAAATGCGGCCGCCACATCTAAGGACTGGTAAGCTGCAATATGTGACATTTTTCTGTTTGAGATTAGATGCACTTTAATGTCAGTCTGTTGAATGGAATATATGGCATCCCAGTCCTTCAGTTTACTATGGTGGGAGTTTCACCTGTGCGGAGATACTTGTACATAATACAAGTATCGGTGATTTCAGCAAGTAATGTGGAATTGTTCAAGAAACTTTTGGACGATTTCTTAAGGGACCGTAATATACAGGGGTACGGGTACAGAGGTAATGATCCATACCTTCTTCCATACATAACATGAGGATGGATGGCAATCCTGGGAAACCAAACACAGGAAAAGAATGTCAATGGCAGTTCATGGAACGCAGGAATAAGCGATAAGCTTTCAGTGATTGGGTTTACATCAACTTTAATGGCACATGACACTTTTACATTTTCAAAAACAAGTTATTTAATTTTTGCAGATCTTCGGATGTCTATACAGAGATATCGTCCATAGTGTGCATAGTGTGGGATGTCAGCATACTGTAGGTAGGACCCTATAAAGGGGGAGTATGTCTCATGTACTTACCCAGGAGCAGGAGGGTTAAACCGAACAAAGCCTTCATGGTTCTTTTCTTTGATCCCTGAAACACGATATTATTAAATCTTTACATTAAATAAAAAAAGGAAATACACAATATCCGTATTTCACATGCACAGGACAATTCAGTTTTACAGACACAAGCAATGGATAATAGTATTGCCACATTCTATAAATATTATATATATATATATACTGTACACACACAGCTCACTGCCCGCTGCCCGGCGCTCACTGCCCTGCTTCCTTTAGCAGGGTGACAATGCTGCTCATTCTGCAGTAAAATGGCGCAGCAGTTTTAGACGGAGCAAACTAAGGGGATGGAAGACCAAAGCTATGAGACAAGGCTACTAAAGTTAGACTTGTTCACGCTGGAAGTGAGGAGATTAAGGGGGGACATGATTCTGATGTAAAAAATGTTGGGTGGTGATGGCAACATCAGCAATAAACGTTTTACTATAAACTCCATAACAAGAACTAGAGGCCACCACCTAAAACTGGTGGAGAAAAGATTTAACCACAAAGGGCGTAGGGGGTTCTTTTCAGTCAGAGCAGTTAGGGTCTGGAACTCGCTGACACAAGCAGAGGTATCAGCTGAGAGTGTTGAATCGTTCAAAAATCAATTAGATACCTTCCTCAGAGACTGTAACATACAGGGGTACAGGTACTCCTAAAAACAAGGTCACACAGGGACTCGTACACACGCATACACATGCAGAATCACATACATACACGCAATAGGTTGAACTTGATGGACCTGTGTCTTTATTCAACCTCAAATACTACGTAAGCTGGAAACCCGGCCAACCTAAGCCCACAATCGTGGATGAAATAGGAAATGCTGGTGCTCAGGAAGCTCTCCGTCCACCTCAATCTACAGCATATGTAACACAGGTTCCTGCACACAACTTGATGCTCCGATCCTTTATTGAATGTCAAATGAGCAGCTCACATCATAAAACCCGCTAACACGTTTCAGCCACACATGGCCTTAGTTATAGCTATGACTAAGGCCATGTGTGGCTGAAACG